AGGGACAGGTGTGTAGGGACAGGTGTGAAGGGACAGTGCGCACGTGCAAGGACAGGTGTGTAGGGACAGGTGTGTAGGGACAGGTGTGAAGGGACAGTGCGCACACGCAAGGACAGGTGTGAAGGGACAGGTGTGAAGGGACAGTGCGCACACACAAGGAAGGGCTGTCGGGGAGCAGAGGGAGGGGCGAGGCTCGGAAGGTCACGGGAGCGGGGCGGGGCGTGGGTCAGGTACGCGGGGTGGGGGGCAGCACCTGCGCCTTTAAGGCGCCGTGCAGGTGGCGGGCGCTGACGTCACTGTGTGGATACGTCACGGGGCGGGGCCGCGAGGTGCGCGGGGCCGGGTCGGGGCCGCTCCGGTGCCGCTCCGGTGCCGCTCCGGTGTTGCTCCCGCTGATGGACCCGGCCCAGCGCGGCAGCGCCGACCGGAGCTCGGCTGTCGGCGCGGGGTCCCGACCCGGTCCCCCGCGCGGCCCCCGGAGCGTGGCTCGGCTCCCGCCCGACGCTGGGGCTTCGGCGGCGCCTTTCCTCGGCGGCGGCGTCCTGGGCGGCCGTAGGAGCTCCCGATCGGACGCCGCCTGCGACCTCTTCGGGCACGGCTGCCCGCGGCGCGCTGGGGCCGAGGAGCGGCCCCCGGCCCGGACCCCACCCGAAGGGCTCCCACTGCCGGCCCTGCTGTCCCCAGTCCTGGGCGGTCCCCCGTCCCCGGCAGCACTCAGCCGGGCCGCCTTCCCCGCGCCGGAGCGGCGGGAGATGCTGCCCAAGGCTGAGTCCAGCGACCACATCGCGTCCTGGGCGGGTCCCGCCGTGCCCCGCGCCCCCACGCTGCCCAAGGCCGTGTCCAGCGAGTTCCTCGCCGGCGGGCGGGCGGGCCTGACCCCCCGAGAGGAGCCGAGTGAGCTGCCCGTCCTCGCCCGGCCCCTGGGCCGGCTCGGCTCCGGCGACGTTTGTGATCCGCTGCCGGACTGCCCGGGACGGGCCCCGGAGGACGGCGCGTTTCGGTAAGTGGGGCCGCGGGGGGCTCGCGGGAGCGGGGCTCGCAGTGCCGTGAGAGCAGCACTCTCTGTGTGCTCGAACGGTCTCTTTCTTCCCGCTGTGGCGTGTTCAGCAGGATTAGGGTTCAGGGCTGTAGCAAGCTCCCGGCGGAGAGGGTGTTGGGTGCCCACTGTTCATTCGAAATATCGTGATAGACTCCGACTGTGGAGTGGGTGCCACCTGCCCACTGGGGCTAGCACTGGGGCTAGAGTGGTGGTGCTCTCCTTCCCTATTGAAATGTGTCCCCTGGGATTGAGGCTCCTCCTGTCGCTACCAAAAGAGCCTGCGGGCCCTTTGGTGTTCCCGTTGCGCAATGGCATTGATGTGTTGTGATGGATGTGGCTTTGCATTGGTGAAGGACACCGCTGCAGGGCTGCAGCATCGCTGTCACATGCTCTGCCCTGGCTCTTGAGGCTGGCAGGGGCTGGGAACTGAGATCCGGGTCCTTTTCTCCAGGAGCCTGAGCCTTCCTGGGGAAGGCRGGAGAAGCAGTTTTCCAGAGACACCCTGTCTCGCAGCCTGCCTGCTGTGCCAGCCTGCCTTTGTCAGCTGTTGGTGATGACGACAAGGGCTCTTTGTGCTGGTTTCTAGAATTTCAGGTGCAGATCCTGGGGGATATTGGACGCAAGGACCTGTCTCCATCATGTGGGAGTTAAGGACGTGGTGTATATGCAGTGACTAAGCTTCAGCCTTTGATACTTCTGTTGTCAGCCAAAAGCTGCCTTGGTTGAGCTGGGGGCTGAACAGAGGTACAAGGAAYCCCTCAGAGGCCCCGTGTTAGCCTGTTCTTCCTTTGTCCTCCCAAGCATCACAGTGGTCACCTGGAACGTAGGTACAGCCATGCCCCCAAATGATGTGACGTCCCTGCTGCACCTCAACACAGGCGAGACAAACGATGTGGACATGATCGCCATCGGGTAAGAGGRTGAGGTGCGGCTCCCCCTTGTCCTTCCCCTCCCCCCTCTGGCAAATGCCCGGGGGATCCCCAAAGTGCTGGGGGACAAGGAATGGAAGAGCTGCAGCCCCAGCCTCCCTTCAGACTTGGGTAGCARGGAGGGGTGTGCATCACAAATGATAGCATGTCAGAAAAGGTGATGGAGAATCAGCTCCTGGCAAAATAGCAGTGCTGAGAAGAACTGAAACTCTTGAGTACTGATTRGACTTGAATCCTCATTGAGCCTAAGGCTGGCTATACTGGGCCCAATGAGCCCTGCACTTGTGAGCCATAGCAAACCTTGGATCAGGTCTGTCAAGGCATTTGACTCACCGGCCAAGTCCTCTAGGAGCATTCTCTTCCTCCCTGCTTTTGCATGTGCTGTGCAGGCCTCAATGGCATAGATCTGTTCTCCCACAGCTGGATTGGCTSCATGCCCCTGATACACAGACCTGCTGGCAGGGCAGTGCCACAGCACTGTGGTGAGGCTGGTGGTGTGAGGGCGGCTGTCTCTTGAGGACTGCAGGGGTGTGTGGGTTCCTGCTAAGGCCAGGGCTGTGCCTGACCTGTCTTCACACAGGGGCTGCTTCCTACTCCCTGTCTTCACACAGGAGTAGGAAACAGCCTCTGCCTATAGGTGTGAGGTGGGAGAGCTGGATCTGCCTCCAGGAGCTCCCAGCTGCAAGGGCATAGTGGTGTAAGGCTGAGGCTACCAGAGCTATGACGCTGTGTTGGAGCAAGGCTCCCAGTTCCCTCAGCCTTGCAGGCCAATGGAATGTGTCTGTATAGGCTGCAGAGGTCAACTTGAGCTGGGTGGAGGAGGTGAGGGGTGTAGCTGGCAAGAAGTGACCTGCTTGGGACCGTGTTCTGGCCAGGGCAGGGTATCCTGCTTCTCCCCGCTTCCTGGCATCTCTGCCTGGCTATGTCCTTCCTGTGACCTGTGTCTTTGTGCCCTGAGTACTTGATACTTTTGGGCAAGATATTTCCTGATTGTGCTGTTTTCTGTGGACATTCTTCCCTCTCTTCAGTAATTGCTGAGCAGGGAGTAGCACTGTTAACTTTCTGGTTGCTGCTGCTCTGAGCTGTGTGGCTTGAATGCATCTGGATGTCTGGTGCCAGTGGGACGTGGCTTATCTGTAGGGACTGATTTGACTGAAAGGCCCTGTAAGCCACTCTTGCACCCCGAGATGGGCTTTAGGCTTCTGATCAACCCTGTGYAGTTTAACTGCTTCTGCTTTAGAAAGGGCCAAGGCCTCCTGGATTCAGGGCCACTTGTGCCTCCTGACAGCACATGGCCCAGAATCACTGGAATAAGGATACGGCTGGTTTGTTCTCTAAAATCAGTGTCTTCCCTTGAACTGCCCTTCCCACTCTGTCCTGCTGCCCAGCACTGTGCTTTGGCACCTCTCCCAAGTTCTCACTAACTGGGACACAGATGCTATCCTGGTGTGGCTGAACGACCTGTACGTTTCCTCTCAGATTGCAGGAGGTAAACTCCAAGATAAACAAGCGCTTGAAGGATGCCCTCTTCACAGATCAGTGGAGCGAACTCTTCATGGATGTGCTGAGTCCTTTCCACTTCATCCTGGTAAGGAGTCCTGAAGGAGCTGGCAGCTGGTTTTCTCTGCCTGTGAGGCAGGTGGGCCACAGCAACAGAGAGCTGGACTGTAGGATGGAGGGAGGTGCMGTGGGAGAGCTGTCTGGAGGGACAGCCTGCAGCCATCCAAGCAGCAGGGACAACTGCTGCATCTCACCCAGCGAGCTGTTTGGCTTGTGCCACCCTGCTCCTTCTCCTGCACTTATACTTCCCCTCTGGTGCTTTGGGATGACTTTATGTTGCCCACTGCATTGAACCAGGGTGAGGAGGTGAATGTGGGAACCAGCYTGCGCCACTGGCATCAGTCTGCGAGTCCCAGGGCAGGCTCAGCCCCCCGGGACAGATTCAGCTCCCCAAGGCACACAGCATACRTAAGCCCAGCATCACTGAGGCTCAGGTTTGGCTGTCAGTGTTCAGGAGGGTCTGCACACATCTCTGAACTAAGTGTGCTGTTAGTCACCTGTGGGATGGGGGTGGCTTATGAAGGGTGGAGGTGCTGCCCCATGGCCTGGAGTGGGGGAAGTTGTCCCTGTCACCAGGCTCTCTACCATCCTATTCCAGCCCTTGCTCCCATTCCAGGTCAGCACAGTACGGATGCAAGGTGTGATCCTGCTGGTGTTTGCCAAGTACTACCACCTGCCCTTCCTGCAGGACATCCAGACAGATTGTACCAGRACAGGGCTGGGGGGATACTGGGTGAGTGTGGTCCTGGGGGAAGGTGCCAAGGGGCTGGCTTCCCAAGGAATCATGGGATCCTCTTGGTGCAGGGTAACAAGGGTGGGGTGAGCGTTCGTCTCTCCATCTTCGGCCATATGGTTTGCTTCCTGAACTGCCACCTGCCAGCACACCTGGAGAAGGCGGAGCAGCGCAAGGAGGACTTTGCCACCATACTGCACATGCAGCAGTTTGAGGGGCCTGTGGCCAACGGCATCCTGGACCACGAGTGCGTACCCCACCACTTTTCTCCCCAGTCTGGGCTCTAGTGCCAGTCCCAGTCCTTGACGACCTGCAGGGTCTGGGGTCTGTCCCCTGTATSCCTGCACAGCTTGGAGAGTGGGTCTTGCCTGCAGAGCTGGCCCAGCATGGACTCAGCATGGTGGGTACATGTTTAGAGGGGTCTTGGTCTCACCACATTCAGGGCTGGTACAACTCCTGCCCTACTAGCACTTGTTGGGGTTTGGGACCAGTGAAGACAGCTCTGCCCCAATGTCCTGGCTATACGGTCTGAATCCAGTAAGTGGACATTTCCACACTCAGTTTCAGCTTGGGGAAGTCTGGCCCATCTGCCTTATGGTGCCTGGCCCTACCTGCAGAATCCTGGCAGCTGGCCAGGCTGCCAGCTGAACACTGACCTGTGCCAGTGTTCCCAAGGGCAACTGTGCYGTGGGCTAAGGCTGCCCACAGGCAGGGGACATCTTACCGCTGCTGTCCCTGGCTCTGGTAGCCTCAGCACTTTCAGCCCGTTGCCCTTGCTCCCATCCACAGCCTCGTGTTCTGGTTTGGGGATCTCAATTTCCGCATCGAGAGCCTGGACACCTGCTTTGTGAAGTATGCGATTGACAGCAATGTCCTGAGCCAACTCTGGGAGAAGGATCAGGTGAGGGATGGGCATGCTGCCAGCCTACACTGGACCTCAAGCAGCAATTGACTCTCCCCAAAACTGCCCATGCAGCTGTGGGACAGGGCATGTCCTCTTGCAGCCCAAAGGACATGAAGRGCCCTGGCTCTCAAAGTCTCTTGGGGGGAGGAAGGGACAGCAGAGTCCCAGGTCAGATGGAGCTGGGCGCACTTCTCTCATCAGTGTGTGAGGAAGAGCCGAGGTATTGAGTCAACAGATTAGCTGCTGGCATGGATGGACAAACCCTRAGAGCTATGGGAGCTGGCAGGAATGGGGCAGGGATGTCACTCTGTGAGGGTAGAGAGATCTTGGTGGGGTTTGTGGAGGGATCTGGCTATGGGGCTGCTGTGCTCCTCGATGTGCTCTCTTCCCCAGCTGAACATTGCCAAAAGCACCTGGCCTGTTCTCAGAGGCTTTGAGGAGGGACCCCTGAACTTCCCACCCACTTTCAAGTTTGATGTGGGCACCAACAAGTACGACAGCAGGTAGGAGAGCAGAACTGGGAATGAGGTGGGGCCAAGGGATGCAGGAGCAGTGAGGCTCAGAGCCAGGGTGGATGGGTAGGGAGAGCACCTGTGCTGGGGTGGGCACGGACTGGACTGGGATATGACTGCAGTGCTGGTGCCAGTGCACGTCTGTCCCTGCAGTCGTGCTGAGCTGAGTGCCAAGATAAGCTGCCTCCCCTGCCCACATGTGCCATATGCCAGGAGGAGACAGTTTGGGTCAGAGCCCAATGCCCCTGCCAGGCAAGAGATGCCCCTCTGTGCCCTGCAGTGCCAAGAAGCGAAAACCAGCCTGGACCGACCGCATCCTGTGGAAGATAAAACCTCCCAGCAAGGGTGCAGGTGGGCGCCAGGCCAGCCAGGGTGTGCTGTCAGTGAGTCAGCTGTGCTACTGCAGTCACATGGAGTACACTGTCAGCGACCACAAGCCAGTAGCTGCCATCTTTGCCGTGCAGGTGAGCACTGTCAAGGGCTGCTGGGCACACAGGCAGGAGCTGCAGGGGTGGGATGCCATGCTTGTGTGTGTGAGGCCTACTTCCATTTGGCAAGCTCAGCTGCCTTCCCCTGACTGGGGGTTGCTGTGGGTATATGCACAGGGGCCCTGGGCAGAGCCATGCCCTTGCTCACCATGTACCCATCTCTGACAGTTTGCTTCCAAGGTGGACAAGCCCCTGGTTGAGATTTATGTGGCTGACGAGTGGAGCAGGCCTGAGCAAGCAGTTGTCAGGTACAAGATGGCTGTTGGCTTCCACCGGAGCTCCTGGGACTGGATAGGACTCTACCGGGTAGGGGCTTGGGGGCTGCTGGGGCTGGAGGGAGTGGGGAGCACTGCACAGCACTGCGGGGTCCCTTCTGAGCTACCCCCCACCAGAGAACATGGTGAGGGCATGGAGCTGTGCCCTCCCTTCCCCTGGCATCATGATGTGGTCCTGCGTCAGGAGGCTCAGGTCTAGCAATTCCCTCTTCCTCCTGCTCTGTGCACCCCACAGGGCCCTGGGGCACACCTGGGTGGATGCAAGGCAGCTCTGGGGCACCCTGTGKGAGCAGAGGGGGCTGAGCAAGAGAACATGTGGGTGATGGTGCCAAGTGGGGCTCACATTGCCCCACTCACCTGTGTTTCCTATGTACGTGTACACAGGTGGGCTTTCGGCACCCTAAAGATTATGTGTCCTATGTCTGGGCCAGAAGCGATGATGGGGAGCGCTGCCTGGAGAAGCAGCTGTGTGCACAGGTGAGCTGGGGCCAGCCCTACTGTCTTGCTGGCATGTGTGCCCCATAGTGGGGGCACAATGGCCCCTTTGTGTCCCTGGATGAGGGAGGCAAACACATTGCTGCTTTGTGCTGACTCTGGGGCAGGCTCATGGTGTCAGCAGCAGAGATCTGTGCTTTTGGCTGGTGCTGAAGGTGGGAAGGTGGGCACCCTTGTGCCAGCCCCAGTGYCAATCAGGTGTCTCTGGACTGCAGGTGATGTTCTCTGAGGAAGCACTACCCAAGGGGAACGGCGAGTACATCCTTGGATACTACAGCAATACCTCAAGCAGCATGGCTGGTGTGACTGAGCCTTTCCAGGTGAGCACAGCCAAGGGGCGAGGGTGAGGGGGGATGGGTGTGGGAGGCCAGCTGCTGTGGTACCCAACAGTCCCTTGCGAGGGTCACCCAGCAGTGCTGATGTAGGGGTGCAGATCTCCCTACCCAGGTCAGAAGAGGGCAGCAGCTCCACGGACAGCTCAGGCAGCAGCTCAGAAGAGGATGACAGTACACTTGTCCTCCTGGCCCCCAAGTCCCGTAGTCCCAGCCCGGGCAAGATGAAACGGCACCGGAGCCGAAGTCCCAGCCTGGCCAAGTTCCAGGGCCTCATCCTGCGGCCATCAAGCCGGGACAGGGGTAAAAGTCGCAGTCCCTCACCCCAGAGCCGCCGCAGCCTCCCCAGGAATATCCCCACCATCCATCTGCCTCCAGAGGAGCTGGGGCACTGTGGAGTCAAAGGCAAGGAGCTGGGACAGGCAGCTGAGAGCCTGGAGGGCACCTCTTTCTACGAGACTGTGCAGGAGCAAGTWGGCGCCCGGCGTATCTCTGCTGACAGCTCCTTGGCCAGGGCTGACCCCCGTAACCTGGGCCTGCTGCCTGCACTGCGCCTGGAGATGATTGACCAGGCCCTGGGCCGGCAACAGGAGAGCGCAGACCAGGCTTACTATTCCTGCCGGAGAATGAGCCCCACCAGCCCCCCAGGCTGTGGGACCTCCCCAAAGGAGGGGTGTAGCCCCCAGGAACTGGACAGACATAGCTGTGCCATGGGCCACTGATGCAGTGGCTCCCTCCCTCCTCCCCATAGCGCGCTTGCTGTGTGCTTTCCTCTGCCACTGCCCTGCTGAGACACTCCCTCCCTTATTTATTGCAGTGACTCCTCACCCCTGTTGTGTACCTGGCAGGTAGAGGTCCCAGCCCTAGCCCCTCCCCTGGGCAGGGCTGTGAGGTGACTACACAGAGGAGGGTGGGTAAAGCTGGTCTAATGTGGTTTGGGGAATCCCTCATGAACTTCTAAGTGCAGGACTCTTGTCACATGGGAGGAGTGCTGGCCTCACACCTGGTGGCACAGGAGGCCAGGGAATGGTGATGGGCACAGAGTGAGGACCACCCCAGGGTACCCCAGAAATCAAAGCTTGCTCCTTCCCTGCTCTATCGCCATGCCTCGGCCTGGACATAGTGCAAATGACAAAATAAATGACCCTGCCCACCCCAGCTGCWTTGTACTTACTGCTGGGGGCAGGATCAGCCCTGGGGTGGGGGCCACAGCATGAAGAGGGGGCAGCAGGCTCAACCCTTGCACCATACACCATGCTCGGACCACCCTTTATTTCTTCTGCTGCATGCAGGTACTGACCCCCACCCTCCTACCCTGCCTGGGCAAGGTGGTCAGGATCACACCTCACTGCTCAGGGCCCCAGTTGAAGGATCACCAGTCTAGGGGTGGGGGCTTCTGCCATCTGCCCTGCCCCCAAGCACACCTGGGAAGGACAATGGGTTTCTCCTTTCCTGAGCCCTCTTATTTTTTCCTCTTGCTTTTGATGCTCATGGATGGCAGCCACAGCTCCTTGAGAGGCTTCTCTGTCCCTCTGCCTGCTCTGGCTGTGGCCCCCAGCTCCACGCAGTCATGCCAGCAGCCATGCTCAGTGCCATCCTTTGACTTGAGGACCAGACATGGAGCAGCTCCAGGCTGCAGCTGCTGCACAGCCATCTTCCTCCCCTTCCCTCCCAAGGCAGCACTGTTTGGGTGTCATCGAGGCACTGTGTGGGGCCAAGCACCTGGTGCCTGTTCTATGACCAGTTGCTGGCACTGCTCACAGAGAGTGCCTCCCTTGGCCTGTGTCTTCCAGTGTGGATGCCTGGCCTTGGAGCTCACACGCAGAGGGGCCCAGCGTCTCGTAGTCTTTCTGAGCTGCCGCCATGCAGGTACAAGCACAGCCCTAGTCATCGTGGTACAGCTGCTGGAGAAGCAAAGCTGTGAGCGTCAATATAACCCCGCAGCACCACCATCCACTGCCTGCCCTGCAGCCTGCTTGTGGTATAGCAGAGCAGGGGCCAACGCTTGCAGTGCTGTTTTCCTGCCCCACATGGGCCCTGGCCTCTTGACCTTCCCACTTACCTGTGCTGTGACTGCCTGCTTGGGCTGCAAGCAGCAGGCACTTCCAGAACAAAGCAATCCATGGCAATGCGATCAGCCAGGACAGCCACATCCATGTCACTGCAGTTCCTCACCCTGTGCAGACACCGTGCCAGCCTGCAGGCASAGGAGGGCAGGGGTCAGCAGGTGCTGGCTAGGACAGGCATCCCACCTCCTCTGATCCCCAACTGTATGCACACAGTGCATTTTTCCTCCTGGACTCACACCTGCGCGTGCAGTTGCAGTGGAGGAGTGTCCGGCTGTCCACGTTATGCAGCTGGTACCTCATCTCATGGGGTGCAATCTGGTGCTCACACTTACTCAGGTGTTTCTTGCACCTGCACCCCCTGCCTGGGCCTGAGGAGAGTGGGGAGGTAAGGGGCACCCCCTGCACATGACCCCAGCAGCCTGAGGCCTTGGGCCACCCAGCTGCAGTGTGCACATGCTGCCCACGTTATCAGCTCACCCTGCTGCCTGCGCCCCTTCACAGTGGGTACAGGGGTGGCTCCACACTGTGCTGTGGCTGGGCTGGGTCCAATGCTGCTGTACCACGGGCGTGCTGAGCCTCCAGCCCCATGCTCTGCTCCAACCAGATCCTGTTCCGACAGAGTCAATGCCTTTGGGGGGCCAGGCTCTAGTCCCCACTGCATTGCTGCGTGCCTGGTTGTGAGCTCAGCCTTGTCCCTGGCCGATGCAGGGGTACCTGGGCCCTGCAGCTGCTGGGGTGTCTTAGGTCTCCATGCCTGGCGACGCCCAGGCTTTGCCCTCAGTTCCTGTCGAGGCCGCTTACGCCCTGTTCTAGAGAAATTCCTTCCCTTGCCCGGGGACTGCACAGTGGAGTTGCCCCTCTCCTCAACCGTCAGGCTGGAGTGGTACTGACTCTGCTGCACCATCCTGGCCAGAGGCACTACACCATAATGCTTACACCTGGGGACACCATRTCCGTGAGGTCCTGCACCAGCCCACCCAAGCAGTGCCCGGGAGGCAGCTGGGCAGGGCACGCTGAGGGCCGAAGCACCCCCGGGCACTCACCCACCCCACCAGTGCCACTGGACRCACTCTTCACTCTCTTCCAACACAAAGCACGGCACCTCCAACAGGTTGAAGAATGTGACGCCGATGATGTTGGAGACGGTGTCATTGACGGCGAGCAAGCACCGCCGGAACCTGCGAGAAGGGAGTGGTGAGGAGGGCGAGCCTCCCCGACGCCCCTCGCTGTCCCCAGCCCCCCGGCCCCAGGCCCACCTTGCGTCGCAGTCGCAGTGGGACACGGTGTGCAGGCGATAGTTGCGGATGCCGTAGTTGAACTGCAGCGCTGAGATCTGCGCCCAGCAGTGGTCGTGCTCCCGACAGCACCGGTCGGGGCCGCGGAACAGCCCTGCGGAGGCGCCGATGAGCGCGGCCCTGCGGAGGGAGACCGGGTGCCCCCGCCGCCCCCCGCCGCTCCATACCCAGCTCGCTCCAGTTCCCCGCCGAGTCCCCCGCACCGCACCACAGCGTGCCCGGTAGCGTCCAGCCCCGGCGGCGGCGGCGTTGTGGTCCCGGCGACACGGGGTCGGTGCAGGCGGCGCGGCGCCGCCACAGCGCGGATAAGGCCCGGCGCAGCGCGGCCCCGGGCGCGGCAGGCGGGCGGTGGGCGCAG